AAGACCAAAATTGAAATAGAAAGATATGGTAAAGAGAGATTAGGAGGTGGAGTAAATTGGAAGGATTTGGCAATGAATAGTCGGTTGGAGAATTGGTTGTGAGACAGGATGGTCCTAGCGGCCGGATAAATATCTTTATAAAACCAATACATTCTTCGCTATACTCAGAATCTATAAATCTCAATTCAACTTAAATAGTTAAAAAAAATTGATAAACCTATCCACTTTTATTTGTTCTCTAATCAGTAATCTAATTTGTCTTCTTTTATATGATGGTTGTAGCCATTAATAATTGAAAATATCCCGATAAGCATAGTCGTCTCTACTCTTTTATGTTCATTCTAGCCGTTTTCCAATTAGGTCCACGTCAACGTTTTTCATAGTCTCTTAAATTCTTAGCGGAGCAAGGAATGTATTGGTTATACAATGATGTTTATTTTTTTTAATACTATTTACAAGTATTCTACCAGAAAATTAAGCTTCGAAGTATCAAGTGTAGCATGTTTTCTGAAAAGGAATTTTTCTGGAGTGGTACTTAAGGAGGTCATTTTTTGATTTTCCAAGAGGTATTTATAAAACCCGGGATAAAACATAGGAAAAATGATAAAATAGGAACAATATTAATCGAACTCTGCTCAAAATCGTTTTTCGTTAGCAATAATTAATCGTCTAATTAAATTTCCACTCGATTTTCCCAACTTCTCACTTTCAACAGTAGCCACCTATCGTGTGAAGTATGATTGTATCTTTTTTATTTTAACTTCCTGCCTCAATCTTAGTCTAAAGGTCTTTCCTCATAAGGAATACCTTCCTGCGCCTGATTGCAGATTATTACTGGTATACTTACAGTAGCATAGCTAGGCCTTTAAGCAGCCTGTTTCATGTTCGATATTTGCGTCTTAACAACTTAGTCGATTTTCCTAGTATATATTTATTTTAAAATCTTCTAAATTGCAAATCATTTAGATCTATACTGTGACTACGTTAAGGCGATGACCAGTTACCCACATAGGAGGCGCCCATAAGGAGCCCTCCGGATTTTTCACAACAAATGTGATAATCTGGGAAATAACATAGGAAAACAGGGAAAATCTGTACAACATTAAACAAATATTATTAAAGAAAATGTATAAAGTCTATAATTTTATTATAACATATTATAAATTGTTGACAAAGCATGACTATTAACTGAACTCCGCTCAGAAACGTTTTTTTGTTAGTAACGGTTTATCGTTCCTTACAGGTACACATTAAATTACCAATAACAGTGACTACACCCGTCCCCATTATTCTAAGACGTCTTTTTAATATTTACTTTTATACCAAAGGTAATAATATATACAAAGGTGACATTTATTTTAATTTGTAATAAATTACAATAACAGACAATGGTGGAGAAATTTAACCCCCCCGCGGCTCACTGATTACGCCACTAATTGTAGATTTATTATTGAGCATGATTAATATTTACATTTGGAATTGACTATTTTTTTTCCAGGTCCATGGTAATGGATCTTGTAAAAAAAACCACGTAAGTGTTATTATTGTTATTATTATCATTATTATTATTTTAACCTATACTATTAATATTACTTATTTATTTAAAATTCAATTTCTTATAATGACTAAAGTAACGTAAACTTAAATTGATTTTATGCTACAAACATTTTTTAAAAATACAAACAATTATAGATGCATGTTACCCTCGTGGCTCCCTTGTTACGCCCCTAGATTTATTATTGAGCACGAATAATATTTACATTTGAAATTGATTACTTTTTTTCCAGATTCATGGTGATTATTGCTTATACAAAAGTGAATCCGTAAGTGTTTTTATTATTGTTATTATTATCATTATTTTAATTATTATTATTATAACCTATGCTATTAATATTACTTATTTATTTAAAATTCAATTTCTTATAATAACTAAAGTAACGTAAACTTAAATTGATTTTATGCTACAAACATTTTTTAAAAATACAAACAATTATAGATGCATGTTACCCTCGTGGCTCCCTAGTTACGCCCCTAGATTTATTATTGAGCACGAATAATATTTACATTTGAAATTGACTTTTTTTTCAGTATCAAGATGATGAGGACGAAACGGAAATGGACATGTAACTGTTTTTATTGTTATTATTATTATCATTATATTTTTTTATATACGAATTTTAATTTTAAAGCCAAAATGTTAACATTGACACTATTATTATTGAATACAAAATCTGCAAATTGACACATATATAGACTGAAATATAAATTATTTCGAATGATTAAATATCAACGTCAATTTTTGTGAGTCAATCGCATTCATCTGCTCCATCATTTAAATCTAAATCTCCAGGTTCAGACAGAATATCCGGTTTCTTTTTAGCAAACTGTGCCGATTCTATAGCTTTCACGACCTTTTTGTTATACTGTAAATCCTTAGTTAAAGGCATTTTCCCCTCCATTTGGAAAATAAGCTCAGTTACACCAATATTTAAAAAAGGTGACAAAAATAATATTAAAAACTACCGTCCTATTTCTAACCTGATGCAACTTGATAAACTTTTTGAAAAACTAGTCTTAAATAATATAATACCGTCACTTAACAATATTTTCGATCATAGACAACACGGTTTCAGCTTGGGAAAATCAACATTAACCTGCAATTTATTGTTTATAAATTACATTTATGATGCCTTTAATTATAACTGTCAGGTAGATGTCATTTACACAGACTTTGAAATGGCTTTTGATCATGTCGATCACAACCTTTAAATTTATGCGGCACATTGTCTAGACATTGGTAAACCTCTACTGTTATGGTTACATTCTTACCTAACCAATCGTCAATAATTCACAAATATTCAAGGATTTAGATCAAATTCTTATACCGTTCCCTCCGGCGTTCCTCAAGGCGATTATTTGTCACCCCTCTTATTTTTAATTCTCATTAATGATATTTCAACTGTTCTTAAAAAATTCCAATTCCTATTATTTGCCGATAGTTTAAAATTGTCTACACTAGTGTTAATCGACGATTGTAACATTTTACAAAACGAACTTGATCTATTGGTTAATTGGTGGCAACAATGAGGAATAAACTTAAACATATCTAAGTGTCACTCGATGGGTTTTTATAGAATACGCAACCCAATCACATTTAATTATATACTATAAATAACAATGTGATCGAATCTTTTTCATCTATTAAAGATCTTGGTATAATTTGTTCACATGATTTATGTTTTCTTGAACACATTGAGAGTATTGTGAGAAAATCTTCAAAAACATTAGGTTTTATTAAACATCACTCTTCTGAGTTTTTAGATCCTTAATCTTTTAAAACCCTTCATATAGGTCTTGTTAGGTTTATTTTGGAATACGATTCTATTATTTTGAGCCCATATACGAAATAAGAAAGTCATTCAATCAAAAGAGTCTAAAACCATTTCTTTAAATACTAAACTTTTAAAATAAATTTTCAGTTAGAATTTCATAAGTATAAACCTATTCCTTAACATTCTAATTTGCCTACACTGGCATCTAGATGGAAAGTGGCAGATATAAATTTTGTTTATAACCTCATTAATGGTCATATAAATTCTCCTTATTTACTTGAACACATGCACTTTGATGTTCCCTTACACCATCCCAATTACCCCATTATCTTCTATATCTCCTCTCATATTACAAACTTTGCTAAAAATTCACGTATTTCCAGAGCAATGTCATTATGTAACAAATACCCCAACTTTGATTTCTTTCTTGATAAAGTATCTAAAATAAACTAAATCTCATGTTAATTATTGTAGTTTATAACTGTTAAGTATATTACGTATAATAACTCAAACGTATTAATTAGTCCTTTATTGATAACAGTAAAATTCGGAATGAGGTTATACATAAATATTGTCTGCGAGACGAACAACGATGGACAGTCCCCACCAGTGTTGTATAAAGATACATTTTTAAATACCTAGATAAAGATAATTGGCAGAAAAGTTATCTAGATGAAGATAAAAGATACATCAGAATTTAATTATCTAGATAAAATAAAACTATAGAATTTTTTATTTAGATAAAAAAAAATAAAAATGTTTAATAAGTTAGGTATCGATCACAAGTGCTTGATGTTTACCAGATATATAATACATCTAAATTTCAAAACAACTGTATTTTTTATGTTAATCAATAAGTCAAATTTATTACTAAAAAAATATTTAATGTTTTTAAACTTAAGTTCAAAAAGTAAGCACAGTGCAATTTTTAATTTAAGATAAAATATTAAATAATATAGTGTCAAAAACCTTAAAGAAAAAATGAATTAGAGTCTTAAAAATTGTCTTTATATATTCGATACACTAATACGGGCAAAGAAAGCAATGTTATACATATAAAAGACGAAGATTAAATCTGTAACTGAATAATAATATAACAATATATTAACATAGGATAACACAAACCATTGCAACTTAATAAACACCAAATAAAATAACACATTTTGATACGGTCAAAAAGGGGGGGGAGGTGGCCGCAACCAGTTTACAATGCATTAATTAATAACAGTAATCATAATTTATAATTATTTATAATTATAAATTTAATATTTTGTAATCGGAAAATAAAAATACCATGATTATCTCAGATAACGTCTCAGATAACATAATTCCCGTTTATCCGAATAAAGATGAAAGATAAAAATATACCTATCTAGATAATTTATCTAGATAAAACACAACACTGGTCCCCACCGATTGTAATATGATATGCTATGATTATTTATTTAATACTTAAAATTAATATAACATAAACAAATAATGCTTGTCGCACCGTAAGTGCTTAATATACAACATCTCTTTCCTTAAAAAAAAATTATTATTTTAGTATAGTACTTCATTTGCTATTGTTAATATCACCTACACATAAGTATTATTTTAATTAAATATAATTAAAATAAAACAATTGAAAAAAAAATTACATTATTTATAATCGCTTGGAGAGTATTTCTAAGACGGTTTCCTAGCTCTAATTGGTTTGGGAGTTTTATCTATCATTATAGGATTAGGAATTTCAATTGGTTTCCTGGCGGAAATAAGTAAAATATCATTGCTTAATGGTGTTAAAGATTTTTCGATCAGTAATTGATTATTAAATCTTTTCCAAATAGTTTCATCATTAAGTTCTACGTCATACATATTGTTACCAATACATTTGATGATTTTACCCTTTTGCCATTTATTATTATTATTCCTATAATCCTTATCGCCTACAGTAAATGATATTTTATTATCTCCATTGTTTATTGGCGATATTTGTCGGTCAGAAACCCTTTCGCTGGTGTTTAATTAATATTAATGTATCAAATTGTAAACGAGTTGATCGACCAAATATTAGCTAAACTAACGTTTCTTGTGTTGTTGAATGAGGTGTATTATGATACATTAAAAGAAATTTATTTTATTGTGATTGTGCTGTCAAACATTTTTTAAAGAAGTTTTTAATTATTTGGACTCCTAATTCAGCACAACCGTTCGATTCCAGGTGAAATGGCACACCTGTCATGTGTCTTATACCTACATTTTACAATACAATTGAAATTAAAAACCTGTAAAACATTTTGCACCATCTGATGTAATTGTTTTTGGAATACCAAATCGTGCTATCATTTCCGAAAATTTGTTTATGACAATTTCTGCTGTCATATTATTTACTAGAAATATTTCTAACTATTTTGTATTCGCGTCAACTATGATAAAAAAAAATATTTATTTTGAAATGATCCGAAAAAATCGCAATGCACCCTGGTCCACGGCTTTTTTGACCATTTCCAAGGAGATATTATAGATTTTGGTAAATTTTGCCTAACATAAAGGACAATTTCGCAATCATGCGTAATATTTTTAATTTCCTTCTCCATTCCTGACCACCAAAAATATGATCTGGCTAAACTTTTCATACTGGAAGCCTTCATATGACAAGAATGAAATTCTTTTAATATGTTATTTCGAAATTTAGATGGTATTATAACACGATAATAAACATCCTAGTTCTACTAAAATTTGAGTTTTTCGTAAATTATAAGATTTAAGTTCTAAATTATTGGCAAAATCACTGTTCCATTCTCCTGTTTAGACTGCGTTCAATGCTTTAGCGAGAATTGTATCTCTACCTGTTTCAATTTTTATTTTAGACCAGTCCAGTATGAACGATGATTGTTCATGAATAAAATTAAGACTAATGCATTTTTCATTTAGGTTTTCGATCGTCGATTTAGAAATTTGTATTCGTGATAAAAAATCAGCCATGTTGTTATTAGATTTTAGATATTTTATTTCTAAATCAAATGACGACAAAATAATAGGCCCATTGTTGTAATCGATTAGCAGCATAAATTGGAATACCTTTTTTATCACCAAAAATATATATTAACGGTTTTTGGCCAGTTTCTAATAAAAAATGCCTACCATATAAATAATCATACAATTTTGTAACACCGTAAATTATTATAACACTTTCTTTTCGATTTGTAGAAATTTACATTCGGACTCAGACAACACTCTAGATGCATAAGCTACAGGTTTTTCTGTACGATTTAGGAATACACGTGGAAGTACTGCGTCAAGTGCATAAGACGATGCGTCTACTACGAGTTTGATTGGAAGTTTATGGTCGTAATGTGCTAATACTGATTTTGAGATTAAAATTTGTTTAATTGTATTGAATGCTTGGTCACAATTTGGTGTCACAATTCTATTTACTTACGTTACGTAATAGCGTGTACAATAGCTTTAAAATATGTGCAGCGTTCGGGATAAACTTTATATAATACGTTATCAAACCCAAAAATAAATTTAACAACGTATTATTTTCTGGTACAATAGTTTTTTTTTATAGCATCAGTGTGTTTCGTTAATGTGTGTAAACTATTTTCGTCTAATCTGTAACCTAAATATTCAATAGATTTTTGTAAAAATTTGTACTTTTAAATTTTTCTCTTAAACTCGAATCTAAAGTACATTTAGTAATTTGTTTAATCGAGCATTGTGGTGCTCTGCAATTGTAGAATCTGCTACTTTATCATATTGAAATACTCCTGTGCCCTTGAGACCAGCTTTTTGGAACTCACCTGCTGACCATTTTATTCCGAACGAATTACGAGTGTAACTAAATAATCCCTTATGTGTATTAATATTATTAATATTGGTATATTTGCGATCAGATTCTTTAATAACAATTTGTTGATACACGTCTTTTAAATTGATTTTAGAGAAATATTTCGAACCACTTATATTTGTATAAAAATGTTCAATTTTTGAAAGAGAATATTCAGTCCCTTCTAATACCGGATTTAATGTTATTTTGAAATCCCCCACAAGTTCTAACTGTAATGTTTGGTTTTAATATTGGAAAAATTGGAGTTGCTCATTCACTGTGGTCAATAGATACCAAAATATTACTATTGACTAAACGTTCAATTTCGATTTCCACTTTGTTTTTAAGACTAAAGGAATAGACCTAGGTTTATAAAATTTGGGTACCACTTCATCTTCGACATTTAATGACATTTCTTATTTATTAATAGTACCTATTCCATCTTTAAATGAATTGTAAAATGTTCTTATAATGCTATCTATACTTCCGTCATTTTCCATATTAAACAAATTAAAATACTTTAAATTTCTTATATATTCCTGCCAATTAGTGGTGGACCACCATTTCCGATTAAATAAATGCACATAATAATCTTTTTATTTTCATATTCCGAATTAACGAGTATTTTGCCTATCAGTAAATCATTGCAGACTTAATCAAAAAGAGAAATATCATTTTTTTTTTTTTTTTTAACGTAATGTGATTAAACAGTTGCTATACAATCTTTTTGAAATAACACTATATTGCGAACCAGTATCAATCTTATTATTTTCTTCAATTAAATCTAATGTTAACGGTTTCACAGCTCTATTTTGAAAGTTCTGATCAATTATAGAAAAAAATTACTAAAAAGATCGAAGTTACCTATATCATTATCATCATTTTTAAACAAAAATGTGTTTTGTGTTTTATTGTTTTTCTTTTCTTTCTCGCCCTTTTTACATACATTGGATAAATGACCGCAATTGTTGCACTTGTAATCTTTGTACCTGCAGTCTTTTTGACTGTGTTTTGAATGTGATTGGAATAGCCACAAACTCCACACTTTGCCTTCGACTCCTTGGACACTTTCAAAATCCGCTTGAATTGACCATATCCACTGGTTTTTCTGTGGTACTTTAAATGTGTGTCATCTTCTTTTCTCCAGCCACTTTTGTCATTCATTGCTGCTTCTTTATTTGTTGCAATTTCCATTAAATTTGAATACGTCACATCATAATGCATCTTCTTTTAAGAGACGATCTTGGATTGGTCCTGAACCTATACCGACAACAAATATGTCTTGAATCACCGTTGTTCTGTCGAAAACCCACATTTTGAAGCTAAATTTTTGACACGTGCACCCCATTGGTACACTAATTTATCTTGTCTTTTTCTGGCTTGATAAAATGTATGTCTAGCCGCGAAGTACGACATTACAGGTTTAAAATAATAGTTCAAATTTTGTATAAGACTAGCAAACACAACATCACCCGCTATGCTAAAAACACAAAAACTAAAAAGCACTTTATGTATTTATTTGCTAATTGACGATAATAATATAGCTCGTTTTTGAATATTATTTTTGATTGAATTTACCAAGAAAAAGTTCATCAATTTTGACTCGAAAATTTTAATATCCATACCTGCTTCGAAAATTCCTGGTGACCCAATAATTTAATTGAAATTCACTTTGGAGTCTGCTTTAGAGGTTAACATTTTGTATTAGTCTAAATACACATTGGCACTGTTTGTTACATGGCGATTACGACTTGATTATATAAAAAAAAAACTAATACAAAAATAATAAATTTTTATGAATACTATTGTTTTCTTCGTCGCTAATTTTCTTTAATAATATTTGTTAAGCTCGTTTTTTGGGCTTTGTAGTTTTATGTTCATTTTTGATTCGTCCTAGGTATTATGTTATATTGTACGTACGAACGTAAAAATTGTAATTAAATTAGAATTTTATATTGCGTCAAAGACCAAGCCGTGTTTATTATAGTCAAACAAAGTCGTAAAAACACGATTCGTTAAATATAAAATAAGTTTAGACTACAGGTAGGTCATATAATAATATTTAAGAATTAAAGTGATCCTATACACGTACACGTCTTCCTATGTTGTGATCACACCGAAACAAATTTAATTTCCCCCTACGTGAATACACGGCGCACCGAGATAACAAACAAAATAATTGGTTAGGATTTTAAAAGTTCACTCAGTCACTCCTCATACGGTGCCACTATAATTCACTGTACGCGCGATCGAGTTTTAGGTAAAAATTGTATAAATAATATATTTGTTAGTTACTTAGCGAATTGTACTGGATTGCTAGTAAAGTAGTACTTAACAGAGATAGCCCATTACTGGTCTGATAAATAAAAATCAATAATTCAATAGGTAGGTACCTAATGCTTGATAAACTGCCCAGATCATTAGTTATGTAGATACCTACTATTTTAGACGGACAATTTATAAAAACAATTGATTTTATTCATAATTAAAGGAATAATAATAAAAATTACCTACCTACTTTCTATCAATACTTTTAATGTATTAAAAGATTCATTTGAAGTTGGTAACTAGGTACTTATTAAAAAACCTAGATTCCAAAAATAAAAATTAATCACATAAAAAAAACCGGACATACTTAGCACAATGGGTGGGTCATTGTTGTAAATGAGAATTTGAAAAAGTAGAGAGAAAATTGAATGTATATCTATATACAATCATTGCTAACAAAAAACGATTCTGAGCAGAGTTCGGTTACACATGTTTTAAAAAGCCGTAATATGTACGATGTGAAAATAATAAATTTCGTAAATTTTCCCGTTATTCCTAATTATTAATTATGAAAACCTCAGAAAATCAAAAAGTGACCTCCTTAATGTACCGCCCAGATAAAATTTCCTTTCAGAAAAAATGCTACACATGAAAATCGGAGCTAAATTTCTGGTAGAAAAGTTGTTAACAAAAAATAAAAATAAACATCATTATAAAACCAATATATTCCTCGTTCCGCTCAGTATTTAAAACTTTAATAAAAAAAACAAAAAAGCTCTAAAAGTACTTTCAAATCTATCGACACAACTGAATGAAAATATACTGTAACATCTGCGTCAGCCCATTAGTTATACATAATTTTGTTTCAACACTTTATTGTTAATTTGACACAGATTTCAATGGATTTTAAGAAAATCTTAAAAATACTGATTTAACTTTGCAAAGCTTTTTAAGTTTAATAGACTCTTTTTGTTAAAATGTTTTTTTCTCAACTTTTTTAGTTACTTAATTAAATTTAAGTTGTATAGACTATCCTCAATATTCCAACATCATTCGCGGTCACCCCAACTCACGTACTTTTTTTTATTGATTTAGTAATATTACAAATATAATGGTTGATAATAAAATATTTTTAAGCGTATCTTCAAAGTGACATAGTATTACACCACAATTTGATAATTAGTATCTAATTAATTAAAATAGTAATATAAATGCTTATAGACAAAATGCTTAACCTTTACCTTTGAGTAAATTCATTGGTTAACTATCTAGTTTAAATAATAACAATTTTGTATTCGGTTTTACAGAATTATAAATTTTGTAATAAAAAAATAAATAACTAATAATATTCAAATTATTCAAAAATATCATTTTAGTTTTAAAGTTTTTAAAGAAACTTAAAACTTAAAATAAACTTCTTAAAAATTAAAAAAAAATCTGCATCTACTGTAATATAGTGATCACGAACATTCATATTTTTCTTTCATATCATTTTTTGTGCCCGTAAAACTTTTCTATGAACTATGTAATCATGTTATTTTACAGGCTATATTAAATTATTATGCAACAAAAATTATTTTAGCTTATAGGTAGTATAGCCCGGTAACAATAGATATTATATTTTATATATATTAAAATTGTGTTGTATCAGCAAATTGTAAATCGAAATCACTGGACACAACATGATCAGCCGTCAGATATACCGTATAATTTTATGGTATATTAAAATGGTATTCCAAAAAATCTCAGTGAAATATAGAACACCCTACTTTAAACTAAACAGACTGAAATTGGAAACCTGTAGTCTTTAGCAAATCATTGACATTGGAACATCGCAACATACAGGGGCTAAAAAATCTTAAAAATTAAACTTTAATCCATCTTTTTGTTTAGAGTAATTTTGACCCCCTTGGCCATTCACTTAGTAAAGGTAATCGCGAAAGATTTCAGGCGTTCGTTTTGTGGTTACCACTATACGCATACAACAAGCTTATGAAAAAGGGAGAATACTCCTTCGGAAATTTATTGATATCAACTTACGAAACTGTGTAAACAATCGTTCCATTCAAATAATAGGTTTCATAACTTAGATTATAGCCTCGCCTGAGCCTTTTAGATTCTGAGCGGATTGAGGAATGAATTGGTTTTACAATAATGTTTATTTTTATTTTTTGTGGACAATTTTTCTACCAATAATTTTGCTCCGATTTTCAATGATAGCATTTTTTTGGAAAGTAAATACGACTGAGGAGGTACTTTAAAGAAGTCATTTTTTTGATTTTCCCAGGATTTTTCTTAAAAAATGGAAAAAATCAGAAAATAGGTACAATATTTATTTATTGTATTAATTTAGAATTTATCTATTATCAAATATATATTACACCATCTGCTCCTAAATTAATCTGATATCTTTGAGGTTTAACATAGATAGATACTGGATTACAATTATCCATCAGGTGCAAAAACTATTGTTATAGTAGATGGCCCATTTGTTAATCGGATTGCTAATCATGATTTAAGGAATGTAAATTTTCAATTAATTTAGACAAATATTTCTACTATCAGAACTAACTTGTCACAAAACAAACATTGATAAAAATATCAATGGCTTTTTATGTGTATGTAAATAAATAATACAATTATTGAAAAATTATTTAAATAAAAATAAAAACAATATAGATATTATAATATATAAGTCATACAACATATTTGTATTTATTACATTTCAATAAGTATATATAAATGTACATTTCTTACCACTAGTATAATTATTTTCTAAATGAATAGTAACATTCTACAATGATCCAATAATTTTACGGTCTCGAACTTCATCGACCCATTGAGACAACAGAGCGGGGCCTGTTTTGGGCCAGCTATAATAATAATTTTCTGGAGGTGCACCCTCTTCTAATCGTATAAAATAATGGCAGTATCGATACATGACTTCTCCTATTCGCATTTTAGCGTGTCTACGCATACCTTTGACTACAGGTCCCTTACCGCAAAATGATTCAGCTATTAATATAATTAATATAAATTAATCCAATGAAGATAATATATACTATAATTATTATAGACATTAATACTTTTTGGAAAACTATTTAAAACACCTAACTTTTATAAATTATGTCATCTGTTGTTTTTTTTTTTAATTAGGTTTTTCACTATAGTTGTTACTTTTTAGTAAAAATTAATCAGAATGGAAAATCATTAGTTACCAATCCATAAATTTGTTTTAAATTCCACATGATGATCTTCAACGGCCTTCTTTTGTGCTTCTATAATAGCCTCTTGTACTATCATTGCACCTTTACGCCCGACCAATGGTAATTGTTTAAGAGCTTCATCAACAGACATGCCACGAACAAAACAAGCAACATACCACATTTTTTTGGGACTATATTTGATATTTAACATTTGATGGCATACAAACTGTAACATCAAACAAAGTACTTTTGTTACAAAACTGTACAATAATTGGTTGAAAAATAACATACAGATGGCCGTCTTTCTTCTCCGGGTTCCTGTGGTGGATAAACAACGTCATTATAGTGTAACCATTTTTGAGGTCCATCTTTTTTTTCTAACATATTAGACGATGTGCTAAAATCCGTCTTTAACGTTAATAATGCAACGCATTTTTGAAGGTTGTTAAAACTTGATGGCGGTTTACTATTGCAAAATAACGAAAAACGGCTGGTTACACGACTTAACATTTTGTGGGTTTTTTTAACAGACTACTTTTCAATAAATTTAACGTATAATTATTATTGTGAGAAGAAATTTAAAACGAAACTGTACTAATTATGGTTCTAATACTACTTAGTACTACAAAATTTTAACAAAAAAAATGTAAACAGTAATTTATAAAGCATAATATTATATTTTGTATTATTAAATGATAAGATACTAGACCATATGAAAAAATGGTGATAAAATTTCCCAAAGACATTATATTAACAGATTATTTTATTACTGTTTTCTTTGTTAAGTTCTGAACGCATATTTTCAATTTTGTTCAGTTATTTAGAGTGTAAATAACTACGATATTACATTGGGGCGTTGGGCCGCTTAACAACTACTCTGAAATAGTTTTATCAAAATTCATCATTTAATCTCGCATTTTGTTCATAGGGTTTGTTACCTTCGTATTGATAATCTGTTGTATATTTTGCACAATTTAAAAACTATTTCCCAAAGAAAACTTGATACAATTTTATTGCCAAGGTGTTTTATTCATAGACCTATGCATTTACTTATTTTATTTATATGTCTATTATAGGTAATGGTTTTATCACTTTTATCACTTTTAACAGTGATAGTTTTCAGCGAGCATTTTATTTTAAATTAATATTATATTCACGTATTTTTTCAACATTTCAACTGCTAAATGATGACGTACATATCGAATCTTTGTACAATTCAGAAAGTCCCTTCGATATCTTATTGATTAAGAAGATACATTTTAAAATATATTTGTGTATATAATATATAATATAGATATATATATATATATATATAATGTATAATAAACGCTATAACTATTAAAAATTTTTGTTTATCTCTTTATCTCACCCTTGAAATATATAGTCATCAAGTTATTTTATTGGGAATCAACAGCATGCAATTAGTCATTAATATTTGTGATCTTTAAGTAAATAAATTTGACGTTTTTTGCCGTTGTCGTTTTTACCGATTACCAGTAGGTAAAGTAACGATACTACTATTTTAAAATAATATATTTTCTGTAATCTGAATTCTGATTTCTTGCAACTACCTACTGAAACTCAGATTGAGTTTCATCTACTGAGTTACTCAGAACTCATTTTGTGTTAAACAATAGTTATAGGCGGCTTAACTTTGTTCTTATGTAATTAAAGATGTTTTAAATACTTTTCATACGCCATTGGGTCAATGTAGGTATATTTCGTTTTATAAGTACATGTTGAAAACCATTCATTTAGAATTACTAATTTATTTTAAATGATATTTAGAATCAATTATTTATCATATTCCGACAGTAAAATGTACTTTGGTCCATTAGCGCAAATAAAGGTAGAACCTTGAGGGTGTTAACTTCCAAATTAAGTCCTTATCAAGTAAATACAAAGTATACATTATTGCATTTGTACTAAGTATCCTTATGTCTCACACAGTTTCTTTCAACAATAGTTTATTATTATGAGCTTCATTATCGTAAACTTTTTTGATGTTTTACCTAATATTTCTAAACTTGAATACAATGTCCACAGAGATATTTTCATACATTTTATATTATAGAAATATAGTTAATTTTAAAAATGTATTATTTTAACATCAAACATTAAAAACATAATAGAATAATATTATAGATTTCCCAAACCATCTGTTGGTCAAATATACATAAAAATTCTCAAACTTTTAAAACAACATCTTTGAAGTTCTATCTATAATTTTAATACATATTGCCATTTGAATTTTAAAAATTAACGACCACTTAAATTTCCCTCTTTAATGAACAAAAAGTGTCATATACCTATACAAGTTGATTCAAATGCTAGATTAAGGGGAGAGGGGTCCAGGGAGAGTCATGGTTTCCGGGCTACCAGAATCCCAGGGCTTCAGTTTTTGCCACAGTATGGTATTTTCGTGAATCATTCTTTGACATTTAAATTTTTTTTCCGTTGCCTATTGATGACTTATATAATTATATTATATACAGTAGAATCCGCTTAATAGGGACACCGCATAAAGGGAACAGCCGCTTAATGAGGACAAATTGGCATAGTCCCGAACGAATGTTATTCGTTTTAGGCAATTAAATTTCGTTTATTGGGGACAAATCATCGGATATAAAGGACAAATATATGTATAAATACCTCTTTAAATACCTAATTTCTGTTTGAAGTCTGCAAAATGAAGAAAGTTATGCCGAAGAAATTTACGTGGAGCCAGTCAAAATTACAACTAGAGAAGCAAAAATGTGCATTGATCAGTTAAGACTATATTTCACACAAAATGGAAATGAAAGTGCCCCAACAACTTCACTAGACGTTTGTGCAGACTTTGTTAATAAGCAGTCTTAATAAATTACAACAAAGAAGAATGGACTATTTTCTGCAGCCTATCAAATTATAAATTAAATATGTAAGTACATATTTTTTGCAAAAAATATTCGGTTTATCAGTTAATTTATAATAAATATGTATAATAAGTCAATCAATTAATTAATACTACTACTACTACTGTTAAATAATACTAATCATAATATTTTGTAAAATAAGTTATTATATATGTATGCATATGCACTTAAATAGTTTTTGTTTTTTTTCGTTAATTCGGCTAATTAGGATATTTGGATAATGGAGAAAAATAGATTACTGCTCAATCTGTCCCCATCAAGAGGATTCTACTGTGTAACAAAGTATACATTTATTTATGTATACTTGTAGTTTTGAATTGATATCTATATGTCTCTACTATTTATTATTTTTCTTTTTTCAAAACATATTTTATCAACGTTTTTTATCTCAATGAACCCAATATGTTAAATTCAAAAACTTTATATCATTTCCTATATTCGTTACTTCTGAAGTTCCTCAAGTTGATAACCTCTCTACACTCCAATTTAACTTATTTATAAATGATGCTGTTCTTTCAATTGCACATTCTAACATTCTTTTATTCGCTTACGACGCTAAAAATTTCAAATCCATCTCATCTATTGTATATTGTACGTTACTATAAAATGATTTAAGAAGATTTAATGAATGGTACACTCTTAATGATCTCTCTTTAAATACTAATAAATGTCAAGTTATCTCATACTCAAAAAAACACAAACCAATTAACTTCAACTACCGTTTATCGAATATAAATCTACTTTGTTCTTCTTTAGTCAAAGGCTTAGGTATACTGTTTGACTCAAAATCACTATTAAACATCCATATTCTAACTATACAAAATAAAGCTCTATCTCTGTTTGGTATCATTAAACGCAATTGCTTAGAATTGAACGATCCTTTCTCTTTCAAATATTTCTACACTTCTCTTAATCGATCTTTACTTGAATATGCTTATATAATCTGGGATAATAATAACATTTGTCACAATAATCAACTTGAAAAAGTCCAAAATAAAGTGCTTCACTTTATATGCTACAAATGTTAGATTTATAACCTCCCCACACTGGTTACGAAAACATTTTAGGAATCTTAAAAATGGATTCTTTAAATGCACATAGAATTTTATACTATAATTCCTTTCTCTCTAAACTACTAAATAATGAAATTAATGGTTCGTTCTTACTAAGTCTGATAAATTTAAAAGTTTCCAACCATAACACTTGAAATAATCATTTATTTTATATTCATCTGGTTTCCCAAAACTACATGTTAAACCACCCATCAATATTTTAATGTCTCATGGTAACATTTTTGCTAACTATAATCCATGTATGTAAATTATATTCCTACCATTTGTACAAACTTGTATTTTATTGTTTATGTATGTATATTTAATACATAATTTAATTTATAATATATTTATATATTAGATATGGATATGTTTATTGTACATATTAGTCTAGTTATTCTTATATACTGTTAAGTGTTAATTTTTGTTTAAGCTCATTAATGTTAAAATGTATACTTTATTCACAATTGTCACTATTATAATGTATATACTTAAAATTGGACATTTTATTTGTAAATAAATATATAAATAAAAAAAAAAAAAATATTGACTTATAAACATTTTTAAACATTTTATATTATTAGTCTTTTAACAAGTCTCGTTTAAATGTTTGCCCCTGGAGCCTCTAAATATCTCAATCCGAACTTGGTAATTCACAACATCTAAGGGATATCATGTGGTGGTACAAAACTTTGGTTTTTCATATGAGAACCTTTAGGTTTTAATACAAATTTTTAATCAGATGATTTTTCCGAAAATTTTGACATATTGTAATAGCTATTTCACTTTAAAATACTAATAATAACAAAAAAGCAGGTCTAAATATTAACATTTATGTGGCAACACGGCGAGCAACGTTTTTATAGTTCTCCTTAACCAAACTTTAAAGTGTATATCTTGTTAATGAGTTGATGGAAATAAAAAATATCAAGACCAAAAATAATTAAAGTTAATACTTTATATCATTTATGGAATTTGTAATAAAAGTTTTCATTTGAAAAACTAAAGTCAATACCGCCACAGGATACTCCTTAAATGCTGTGCAAAATCTAAATACAAGAAAATAATTAGCTTAAACTAAACTTAAATATTCCAAAAATCATAATTTTAATAAACTATGCAAAATTTAAACATAAAAACGGTGTGAGCATGCTTAATGAATCACACTGTAAATAGATACCAAATGTATTTAGAGTAAATAAATTTGATTCAGAAAAGTTTTCACAATTAATTATTTTTCAAAAAACCCAATACTATACTAATAATATAGTGAAATTGACAATTACATAAAAATGTTGTACTCATATCTATAGGTACTATATATTATGTCAATATAAAATAAAATAGGGAAATTTAATTAATTAAGACAAAATGTACATTGACTGTATAAATTACAAACATTAGCCAATATATTAATAAACTAACATTATTGTGTTTATATTTTTTTAATTTATAGGAAAAATTAAATAGATACTGAATAAGTTATTAAATTATATTTAGTTTTGGTTAAATTATTGAAGTTATAAAATAAATTTGTATATATTTGAAAGGCTCATTATTATCCATTTCAAACATTTGAGTAAATCAATTGCACCTACTTCCAAATGTACATTATGAGCGTTATGACTAGTCAGAAAAATGTATGCCTTTAAGTGTCAAATAAGGTATAAATATGCAAAAAAAATTAGCTAAATACCTACATAAATATATGCATTATATTTACTAGTAAAATTATGTACTTTATACAAAATGATAAAAATAAAAACATTAATTTTACACCAATAAGTACAGAACTTCAACAAAATAGAATAACTCAGTAAATACAATATTCTTTAATCTGCACTATTAACTCTCAAAAAACTTAAATCCACTATTAATATGTTAATAAAATTCATTTAAGTAATAATACCAAAGATTATTTATTTTTTCGTAATATTGTTTTTTATCTTACAATTTATTTTCAAAAAATACTGAAATGCAGTAATGCTAATAATCTTCCAAATATTATACAATATGAGATTTGATGTGATATAAATCATAAACATTTTGAAAAACTAGACATGCATATATTATAAACAAAGATGCAAATTAATATAATTCCAGGCGCTAGTAAGTTATGATGTATGAACTAAAATTAATTATTGTTATTGTTACATAAGTACAGAATTTAATTTAATATTTGTAACTTAACAAAAAAATAACAGATACTGAGGATGGGAGTGGTAAATGTTGTAGGTGAAAAGCTGGGAAGAAGGATACATAAGGTTATTTAATTTATATCTGTAAACAAAATCATTGCTTGACAAAAGACAATTCCAAGTGCAGTTCAGTAATACATAATTTAGTCTCAAATTTTTTTTTTACGATTTTCGTTTAAATTTAATTTCAACACTTATTAAAAAAAAAAAAGTTGTCCAATGATTTTGAAAGTTTTACCACGTCTAGGTAAGTCTAATATAATTATTATTACCAAGTTTTAAGTCGCTATGTGTATTTATAATAACCAAATTACAGCAAAAAACTCCCAAAAATTAAAATTCCTCTAGTTTTAACGATGACTCCATGAGTAAATCAAAAAGGCAACAAAAAAGGTGTCATGTTTTTTTGGATTAAATCATTTTTCTGGTGGAAAATGACGTCTGTATTTTTAGAAAATAATGACATCATGAAATTGTACGTTTTTTCCCACTCAAGTGCTTTTATTTAAAAAATGGCGCCGAAAATTAGAAAATGACCTTTTTGAAGTACAATTTAGGCAACTTGAGCTTTCAAAAAAGTGCTAAATTTATATATTAAAGCAATTTTACTCAGAAAAAACGTGTCTACAGACTAGAACAAAGAAAAAAAAAATACACAGCATTGTAAAGCCAATAGCCCCCTCACTACACTCGGAATCTAATGTTTCTTTTTTTTGCATATTTGTTAAGTTAATTAATTTTTGTTTTTTTTTTTCATTAAAACGAGTTTAACATTATATTTATATACATATAACTCAACATTTATAATATAAACATGTTTGTCTCAGTCTATGAAACAGTGAAACACTATTATAGTTTCCTAACTAACACTGAATATTGTTGCATTATACATCATATCACATCAACAAATGTCAAATTTTGATTTTTAAACATATAATTCTAATGAAATATAATGTTTAAAAATTGTATAATGCGTAATAAAATTATAGTTATGATGAAAAAAATGCACAGTTAGACAATTTGTATAAATAAATAAAACAGATATTTTTGACTTTTATCACTTCATTACTCTTGTTTTCAGTAAGTTTTTAAAGTATGTAGTTGAAAAAACATAAAACATTTTAGAATATACAACATTAAATATCTTATCTAAGATTTAAAACAATACCTTTTGTAATATAATTGAAATAATTACAATGAACCAGACAGAACCACAAAAAATTGAATGGGTCAACAAGTAAGACAGACAAAACTAAATACATATTTTCATAGATCAATCAATAAAGTATATTGTTGAAAATATTTCAGTAAATTATCTTTTTTTTTATTTCACAATTAAGTAATTAATAAAATCATAAAAATAATATTAAGAACATAAATTAATGGAAAACAAAAATTTGACGAGCAATTTTTTTTGTTGACATAAAATAAATAATTATTTGAACATAAATAGGGTACACAATTGAGTAAAAAAAATTTAGGTACACATTTTTTTTTTTTTCAAATTCAATTTTATTTTATTTTTATAATATAGTAATAATAATAGTAGCAATAATAATTATACAATGTTCGTTATTACTAAAGATAGTAATAAACCTTACAACAAATCTAATATTTCTAAAATAATAATTATAAAGTCTCATTGGCTTGAAAAAAACCGCCTTTTCGTTTTCCCAAGTATTAAGGAAAAACTATTATTATTATTATATATTAATATTTCTTTTTCTCCACAACTTCATTTCGCGTTTTTTTTTTATATCACAACAAAATAAACATTTTTGTGTTAACAATAAACAAACTAAATAACATTTTTCATCAAAAATCTTAAATTGAATTCACTTGTCCTTTACAAAAAAAAAAAAATGGGTACATATATACAATATTTATATAAATATATACACAAGAAAAAAATGGTGAAACTGTACAAAGCAAAAAATTAAAATAAATTGTGATGATGGGACAATTAAATTATAATGAAATCTAACATAGTAGGTATTCGCAGAAAATTAAATTAAAGTTTCTATTCTTTAGGTTGGTTTTGTTTTTATTTTAACCTCTAATCTTATTTTTATTTATTATAATTCAATTATTATTGTCTACAAGTACCAAAATTATTCCTTAGAAGTAATTGTTTCTGTCAGGTTAAAAAAAAAAATATCTCATAAACAAGTAGGGATCACACTATTTTTTTTTTTAAATTTTTTTTTTTATAGGTAATAGTATAATGTAAACACATCATAAATGTACTCAGGAACTCATTCACAGCAGTGACAAAAACGGTTTGACTAGTACATTTACATAATATAATAATAATAATAATAATAATAATAATAATAATAATAATGATAATATTATAATTTTAATGATTATTCAATATTGTAATTTCCTAAGGCCATTTGTGAGCGCCATTTTGTGGTTTTGGTCAATCGGATTTATACTTTATTCCAAATGGCACAGGCGCATTAAGATATTGTCCGTTCACTTATTACAATTATTCATATATTTATAAATAATGTGTTTTTTTTTATGATTATTAGTTTAAAATTTTATTTGGTCTTAGGAAGAACTCGACTGGTTCATGTTGCCAAACATTCCCGAAGCAAAATTAGCTGCTGATAACGTTTGTCCTTGCTGTTGTTGTTGCGGGTGCTGCTGCTGCTGCTGCTGCTGCTGCTGATTGTTGGCTGCTTGACGGCCATGCTTTGGTAGAGGTGGTTGTAGATATTCATGCCTAGATAGGGTGAATACATCTATTCGATCCTCTTTTCTGTATGCTAAACAGCAACGGATAAAGCTCTAAAAAAATGAAAATAGCACAATTAGTATTTTATTAACTGGGTTAAAAAAACCGTGTTTAGTGTATTTGTAATAAAAAATTAAATAAATATTAAACATTATATTTGTTATGACTTTTTGTTTTTATATTTCTTTATGTATTACCCAAAAAAACAATTTGATGTTTATTAATATTTTAGTGTTTTTTTATTATTAATCATTGTGTAATTTATAGTTGATCAAATAAGTATTTAAAAAAATATGTAGTTACAATGAAAATACATAACTAATAATTAGAGATGGGATGTTGATGACCTAAAAATACAAAAATGTCCAAACAAATCTGTTAAAATAAGTGAAATCATTTACTTTAAAAATAATAACTATTAATACATATAGTATGGGAGTGATAATGGGTGTCAGAGTAATTCAAAATATGAATTGTAAAATAATTAACAATAACTAGTAAACATTTTAATTTTAAGTTTAATTTGCAGTAAAAATAATAATTATTAGTTTCTGATTAAAAATACAAATATTGTTTAGAATTTTGTACATGAGTGCCAAATGAATTACTACTGACAATAGTTCCTTTTAAAATACTCGATAAGTGTACATAATAAATTATAACATAAGAACGGTAAACCTGTATTAATATGCAATAAATTTAATCACACACAAATTCCCCAATAATAATAAAATTGTTTTTTTGAATTTACAAATTATCTTGAAAATCTAAAATTTGAGATAAATGCCCCATATTTTATAATAACTACAAAAAATTTCCTATATTATAAAAAAATGATGTATAAATATAAAAATATGACATAAATATAAATGCATTTAAAGCTGAAAATGCCGAAAAATGCAAAAAAGATTAGTATATTCTGAAGGAGCTTGAAATGAATTTTGAGCTAAGATGGCATTTTATAGGATCAAGAGAAAACAATTCAAAAAGTCATCAACATCCTATCTACTAATAATGATTGGTAAAATAATGTATTATTATATTTTACCTTTGCTTCGTTACTGACTGTAGGTTTGTTAGCAAACTGTACCTCGGTAGCCTTTAATATTGTATTTTCTTCTAGTATTGTGGCTTGAGATTGATTATGACCAAATGGCTATACAAATATAGGTATGTATGAAAAAAAATGAAGAAATAACAAAATAAATTATCAATGTAGAGCTTAATTTATTACCTTCTTGCCATAAAGACATTGGTAAAATATAACACCAACACTCCAAACATCAACTTTGGAAGATATTTTTGGTGGGTTTTTGCCTACTACAAAACATTCTGGTGGCAAATACCTAAAATAAGACACAATTTTAATCAAAGAAAATCCATGTAATAAAAACTTATTTTTATACATGTGTATATATATATATTTACCAGTACGTTCCAGCGCCCTGTGACGTAAGGTCCATTCCATGGTCTGGATTATAATTCTCTTCGTCCATCACTTTGCTAAGGCCAAAATCTGTGATTTTTATTTCACCACAGACATTTCCTTCAGTAAGTAATATGTTTCCTGAAAAAAATTTTAACTCATGAAAATTAGAAAAACTTAAATAATCACATTTTTAATTTTTTTTTTTTTTTACCAAAATAAAATACATACCGGGTTTTAAATCATAGTGTATCACAGGAGGTTTTATCTCGTTCAAATACTTGAGTGCAGATACCACTTGCATAACAATTGACCTAGCTTCTCGTTCAGCTATCGTCTTGTGCTATAAAATAATCGATTATCATTATTTGGGATATTTATTAATTAATAAAAAACTTGAGCAAATTCTGTTAGTCATCTCACCTGTTTTAAATAAAAATCTAAATCGTGTCCATCACAGTATTCAAGCACAGTGCAAAACGAATTTGCGTCTATTTCAAACACATCATACAATTTAACAACTCTAGGATGGTCCAGAGATTTATGAATATTGTACTCTCGTAGTGCATGCCTAAAAAAACAATTATTTATAATTTTTATAAGCTCAGCATAAGCAGAAACAATTTTAAAAAAAATTTTAATAAAAATTACTTTATATAATTAGCCTTTTTATCCTCTTTCCAGTCTTTATTCAATTGGTGAACCTTACACGCTACGTAACGCTGTTCTTTTAGATCAAACGCCTGTGAATAATAAGACAAACAATGTTATTTTTTTAAATAATTTTATTAACAAAAATAACATCTTAAAATGATTTATGCTAACTTTGTGGACTTCACTGAAACCACCTTTTCCCAATAACATGAGCAACAAATAACGGTCGTTCAACACTGGGTGACTATTAAATCTAGATTGGTCTTCATTGTGAATCCTCTTCAGTTCTCTTATGTGCAAATTTCTCTCTCGCTCCAATTTCTCCATTTCCAGTTGCAAATCTGCGTCTTCTTTCTTTAAGGCAGACTGTCGCAACTAAAAAATAAATCAAAAGAACAAACAAAATATTATATTAGCTGACAGTCCTTTTCGAATGTGAATTATAATAAAATTAAAATATTTACCTTGAGTATCTCATCTGCTTCATAGTACTCTTGCCACGATAAACCTGGAACAGCTTCTGGCTTTAGGAACGTTGCTGTGTCCAATGCGGACGACGGGGCTACAGTGCCATTGTGCAAAACAGTGCCGGTCGTAGCACCGGTAACTTGATTATTATTGATACTAGGAGTGGGAAGCGTTATGGGTGGTGTAGAAACTGAGGGTGTAGAATTTATTGGTACACTGTTAGTGCTTGAATTACTACTCGCTGTACCCGATTGGCTGCCCGCTCGTTTACGTCCACCAGTTTCACTATTCGAAGGCCTCTTTTTAACCAGCATCTTTTTTTGTCGGTCAATCTCTTCTCTTTCAGATGTTATTTCTTCTTGTCTCCTATACAACAAATACAAATACATTACAATTACATTATTTATAAATAATTGTGATC